GAGTCGGGGATGCTGCTAGCACTTTGGCTAACGTGTCACCCAGCTTGCGACAAACCACTCACGGAGCATCGGGGCCTCAGTGAGTCGACCTCGGACACATCGACTGACACAGAGAACACGAGCTTTACATAGATTTGGTTCCTCGTTTCAAGGACATGAAGTGCCTCCCCAAGAGTGACAGAGAGAGAGGAGAAATGTTTACAGAGTTTTTTGTTAACATGTTTATTGAACATCTTGAACATTCATGTTCATGTTTCTCGAGTTTGTTTGCTCACGCAGAATGAAAAGCGATTAATGTAGAATAAAAATAAATGATATTTAATTGTGATTAATCAAAATTAATCCACAGTAACCCTGTGAAGAAGCTGATTAAACATTTTAATTGTTTTAGAGCACTAATATATATTATATATTAGTGAATACTTACAACTTTTTAAAAAACCATATACTCATAGGTATTTCACAGGAGTGAACCTGTGTTAAAAGATTGAAGAAAACTATTCAAATTCTCTTTGAATTTAAGCATACATCCTCTGTGTTTTTCTGCATTTACTTCATTATATTGCATAAATGTCCGTTACAAGCTTAAATATAAAGTTGAAAAAATATAATTGCAACCAGGCTGTTGATCAAGTAATGGCAATTAATCGTGATTAAGTACAGAAAATTGTGCGATTAATGTGTTAATTTTTTTTTCAATCTATTGACAGCACTAAAATAAACAATGTTTGCAATCAATGTGACCTGAACCTGTAAGTTCATCAGGGATGCTTTTACTGTGGTCACACAGTTTTCTGTATAACTGGAAGTCTTCTGGCAACCAGAATAGTTGCCCTCTGGTCGTTGTTTCTCTCATAAAGATGACGACCTCCTCTGTACCCTTAATGATTTTTGAGTTTTGACTCCATGTATACCAATAAAAGACATGATTTGACAACCATTTGAACAGTTTCTAGGTTTTTCCAAGGGCAGAAACCACCCTCACTAGCTTCTGATGCACACCCAGTCCTTTTGTTCTATAGGCAGGTCTGAAATATGACAGAAACTGCTCAGCTTGAAGGATTACTGCTGGTAGGGTTTCAAGGGGGTAAAGAGTTAAAGCACTTACACATTGTTGATAGCAGAGATGAAGATATACCCGTCTTTTTTATAGTCTGCGGTTCATAGCTTTTCACCCCCTGATTTAATCAGGCTAGCTATTTCCTTTACTCCCAGACTTATGCTAAAGGTTAACCGCAACATTGCTACACATGTTATGCTTTTCCTTATTTTCTTTCATTTATGTGCTTTTAATAATGGTGGGTGTTTTTAATGTGGATGGATGGAAATGCTTTATGCTGTGAGCCAAAATCTCAGATTTCAGGCTACTCTGAATTTTTTTCTATGCATGGATTTGAACAATGCCAGTGATAGCTGGTATCACTAATGTCATCACAGCCACACAGCTCCACCCACCCACTGTTCAAATTTTGTTTGCAAAGGATAGCCAATAAGACCAAATCGGGGTGTGAACCATGCAAAGCTATTCCACAGTCCTGGAATAAAAACTGAATTTGGCGTAACAAGTCCCCGTTAAGCTTTTGATCTTGTTTACAGAAAGTGAGCACAATACATCAGGGCGTTTCTGTAATGTCCACAGGAAGGTCAGAGACGCCACTGGAGTCGACATCAACATGCGTGTTGGCGTTCATTCTGGAAATGTCCTCTGTGGCGTGATTGGCCTCCGGAAGTGGCAATATGATGTGTGGTCACATGATGTAACGCTAGCAAATCACATGGAGGCTGGAGGTGTGCCTGGGTAAGATTAATGAACCGAAGAATGCTTTATTCATCTCACTGCTGGTGCAAAGCTACTTTTCAATTAGTGTTTGACCTCCCTGCTCCATTGTTGAGATGTTTCACATCATAATAATGGTAACATTTTGAGACATTTTTGGACAGGGGATCCGTCTCCTCTAATTCTACCTGTTATGAGCATTTTTGTCAATTATAGCTACTTCATTTGACAAGCAGCTCTGCATTTGTTCTGTGGCCATTAGGGCTGCCATCCCAGCGCTGTAGCAAGCTCCAGAAAATTGGCCGGTGGTTATGTGTATGCTACTCTGAAAATAAGCTCTCCAATGCCACAGTGTTGTCTCACTGGGCTGCTAATAGTTTGTCTCCTGTTATGCCTGCTGAAAGCTATCTGAAAAATATGCCAGATGAAAAAAAAAAAACATATTTCCATCTCTGTTTGAAGGGCAACCGAGCTGAAAAGCTAGAATTACAGGGTAGTGTAGTTACAAAGCTCGAGCATAAAATAAATTTTAATTGAGCCGTCGGTGGTGCAGTGACGCAAGCTCTTCAGTCTTCAACTGATTTCGTCTATCCACTTACTCTTTTCCAGGAGGGTCCATATCTCTTCAGTAACACTGGAGCATTTGAAAGGCTCATACAAGGTAGAGCCTGGAGATGGACAGACCAGAGATTCCTACCTAAAAGAACATAACGTGGTCACCTTCCTGGTCATCAACCCCAAGGTCAGACACCATCACAGCTCTTATAGTCTCAGTCAGAAAGCAGCAGAGGAGTTTTTCTTGTTAGCTAAAATTTACAGATGTGCCCTAAACGCATCACACGGTAATTATAAAGTTACTGTCTTGAAAAGAGGACAGCTGTAAGGATACGCTCACTGAATGTTTTTGTGTGTCCACGTGTGTGTGATACTGAGTTAAGATAAAGCATGTCCATGTATCTTTATAATGACCCGTTCTAGTTTTGGACAATCAGAGTTATTACATTTTGCAAACGTCATTTTTTCACAACCTTCCAACAGCCTGTTGTAAAGACTCGAGTTTAGGGTTAAAGTTAGAAAGAGGTTTAGGTTATAGTTAGTTCTGAAGGCTAAACTTACTGCTGGGAATGCATTAATGTAAGTGGGTGACAGCCAAACGAGCATGCCTGTGCGTGCCCCTCTCTCCCCCTACATACGGAGTGGAGCAGGCAGCAGTCACTGCAGCAGAAACTTTTAGCCTAAATATGCGTGGTCAGCTATAGCATAGTAGCATGCTAGCATGTATATTTGCTAATGATAAACACAAATGAGGCTGACGGAGAATGCTTTTAGTTTTGCTGATTTAATTTGTGTGAAAAGTGGTTCGAACAGGAACAAACTCAAATGATAAGTTTTCAAAGTTTATTAAATATCATGGACCTCCCTCTGTCCAAGAGCCTAGGGTGCCAAATTTTTATATTATGATACAAACAAGACATGAATGTGATTGGTTAAAAAAAAATGGGGAGGAGCCATTTAGACTTGGCTTTCCCTTATTGATTTTCAGTCATGTTTCACATCTGCTCCAATCAGACAACTTCTTGTAAACAATAATAATAATAATAATAATAATAATAATAATAATACATTTTATTTATAGGCACCTTTAAAGACCCTCAAGGTCACCTTACAATAGTACAAAAACTATATAAATAAAAACATAAGGTAATAAAAATAAGCATGAAGTATACAAGCTAAACAAGGTAAAAATAGACTAAGACAGAATCATGATGAAGGGTATGCAATTTT